ATGAATAAAGGCTAAAAAGAGTATCAATCATTTTGACATATTAAAATGGCCTGCTCAGTTACACTTGAGATAATGTGAGGCTCATCCAGAAACTGCAAACTACTTAAAATTAATTGACATTGATATGTGCATATGAAAACCTGTGAATTGTAGCAACAACAGTTAAGGGGGACAACTAGGCCTGGAAATGCATTTATTAGACAATATGGACAACAAAAAATAAATAAAATATACACACAACCACAAGAAGCTAAAAAGAAAATTTAAAACTTTTAAGTAGAAAGTAATAATATATACAACAAAATTTTTAATGGATTTGATAAACCAGGAGCTGGCTACTTGCACTACAGTAGATAAACATATTGCCAGTCCAAAGGGAAAAAGGAGGCATTGAAAAAAACCACAAATCAATGCCACTAGACTTGATTAATGAGAAAAAACACAGTTTGTAGAGGTGATTTTAAATTATGAGAAGGAACACTTCACCCATATCAGATGAACAAAAAAATTAAATATGATCTGAAGTCACTTATATCAATATGGGTAAATCTCAAAGCCGTCATGTTGAACAAATTGCTGGCAATTTGAACATAAGAACAGTATGGCACCACAGATACCAAGTTTTTAAATAAACACAAATAAACTGTTGGTTATTCTGGAGACACAGATATGAGGTGAAAACATAAAAGTAAGTGTAGGAACGTTAACAGCAAATTCAGGGTCGTGGTTAGCTCTGCAGGAGGTCAAAAGACTAGGAGCAGAGACCGGAACACAAAGGATTTCAAGAATATCTTTACTGAGTTACTTTTGAAATCAAACACATAAAGCAAAATGTTAAGATTTGAAAAATCTGGATGGGGGGTACATGAGTGTTTATTATGTGTCAATTTTCATGGAATGTAATCTATTATTTTAATTCAAGTCCAGTGAAACTCCCAAGGAGCTTTTTGCCAAGGTTGTTTGGTTGTCGTGTTAATTGTATTGATGACTTCAATCAACAGCCTCCCTTTTGAATGCCTTTTGCAATGTGATGGTAGCTCCATCCTTCAAGAGATGGAGTCTATTTCCCCATCGTTGAATATTTGCTGGTTTTATAGCTTTATTTAATAGCTTCATTACATGCAGCTGAAGCGATGGTGTGCCATTTCAGAGACTAGGCTTCAAGACACCTTGCACACTTCTACTTCTACTTTGACTCTTGGACCTTTGCCACTGTCATGGGAACAGCTTGGGCTGGCCTGTTGGAGGATGAGATATCACATGGAGGAAAGCACAGTTGTTTCAGCCAAGGACTGCCTACAGCCAGGCAACTCTCAAATATGCAAAAAACCTAGCCAAGCTACAACCTGATCCACAATCAACTGTAGAAGCAAGAGCCTACCCAGCTAAAACCAGAAGCACTAGTCACTTTACTAGTCAATTGACCCAAAGATGCAACCGAAAAATTAAGCAATAATAAATTGCTTTTTGCTTTAAGCCAGTAAGTTATTATGGCAATAGATGACTGATATATTGATAAAACATGGCAAGCTGATTGAAAAGTTTATCTAGAACCCTAGATACATAAGAAAAGCAAATAAATTTTTTAAAAAGAAAAATAAGGTATTTTGCCCTGTCAGTTACCAAAATAAACCCAAAAGTTTCCAAAATTAAAGAAATTGAATTAAATGATGCTTTAGAGTTAAAATATATCTGTGGAACAGAAAAGTACTAAAAACAAACTCAAGCAAATATAGAAATACATGAAGCTGGGAGTGGTGGCTCACACCCGTTAATTCCATCACTTTGGGAGGCCAAGGTGGACAGATCACAAGGTCAGGAGTTTGAGACCAGTCTGGCCAACATGGTGAAACCCTGTGTCTACTAAAAACACAAAAATTAGCCAGGTGTGGTGGCAGGCACCTATAATCCCAGCTACTCAAAAGGCTGAGGCAGGAGAAGGGCAGGAGGCAGAGGTTGCAGTGAGCTAAGATTGTTCCACTGTGCTCCCAGCTGGGTGACAGAGCAAGACTCCATTTCAGGGTGGAAAAAAGAAAAATATAAAAATTAAGTGTCAAATTCAGGGGTAAAGAAACCAATAAATAGTATTTTAACACTCGACATATTATATCAAAAAATAAATTATGTGTCTGATTTGTTTCATTTAAGATAATGGCCTCCAGTTTCATCCATACTGCTGCAAATACTATATATTCTCGCTTATAAGGTGAAGCTAATAAGGAAGCCAACGTGTACACATGGACATAGAATGTAGAATACAACATGTACACAGAAAATGGAGACTTCGAAGGGTGAGGGAGTGGGAGATGGGCAGACGATGAGAATACTTAAAGGTATGATGTATGTTGTTCAGGTGATGGATACCCTAAAAGCCCTGACTTCACCACTATACAATCTATGCAGGCAACAAAATTGTACTTGCAACCCATACATTTATACAAATAAATAATGTGTGAAATCAATTACTTTTTATTTACAGAAATGGAAGAGAATTTTTTAATAACCCTACGAAAGGGAGAGAAGGGTGACAGGAAAGCTGGTGTTTTTCATCACAGAACTAAAGATGAACCTGGCCCAGGTGTTGAAGAAGCTTAAGGGAAGGACTGGCAAGTGAAGTAGCAACAGTCTGGGAATGATACTCCCGTGAAAAAGAGTGAACCAGCAAGTAAGTGACAGCATGTTGCAGTATGTGAGCTTCAGCAGTCTCCCTGTCCCGTGCAACTCCCGGTGCCATGCACCAATCTTCAGAGCATGAAAAGAATACAGTTTCTACTTCATTTCTTTCCTCCCTTCAAATCTCATGCAAAATGTCTCCTGCAGCCCACAGTGAACCAAACTATGCAAAAAATAAACTGTTGGGAAATGGGGCTCCACCTTGACTAAACACAAATCCACAAGAAATTCCCCCTCTAATCATTTATCATCAGGAAGCTGAACATGAGTACATAATCTGTCACATTCAAAGATGTCTATTGCAACATTTGTTATTGGGGAAAAATTAGAGAAATAAATTAGTGAATGCTACATAGCCTTTAATAAGAAGATACACTTGCCATTAACAAGTTACAATAGCATGCAAAATTGTGAAGTAAAATGGAAAGTTGCAGAAGATGATATAAAATATGGTACAAGTTTTGCTGAAATACAAAAAGTAAATAAATGTTTGATGAGTATAAAAAGAGTCACACAAAACTAATAGGAGTTACCTCTGGGTGAGAAAATTGGGAAACAGGTAAAAGAAGGGAGCCACTGTCCCTTTTTAAATTTGTATCTATCCTTTATTATAACAAAAATGTATTATTTTTATAATAAGAACCCCAATTAAGTCTTTAAAAGAAAGAGACTACCTAAAAATATAAATCATGGGAGTTGATAAAATGTTAACAAAGATATTTGAGAATCCTAAGCTGTGCACTCAATGTATTCAACCAGATCCCATCTATTGCAATAAATAGTAGCAATTATTATTATCATTATATGGTTAGTCCAAAGAGACTTTTTGGTGACCCACTGACTCTGCCTCTTACCTGTAAGCTAAAAGACATCAGAGAAATAATTAGCAAATACAGAGAAATCTGGGTAGCAGTTAATCATTTTCCTGTGCTGAATAAACAGCAGAATTCCTTTGTTCAGTGTGGTAACTTTCAAAGGCACATAATTTTGTAAATGTCAAATCTTCAGATGATGGAATTTCCCAAAAGATGTGCTCACCGAGTTACTTGGGAGCAGGGAATGTCCCTAAAGCATTACTCAATCCAGTGCCTGGGGTCAAAGAACATATTTTAATCCCTCCTTGGCACTGCTAACGACACCTGGCCCCTTCAGTCAACAAATACTCATTTGCTTTCCACCAAGTGTCAGGTAGTGGACTGGAAGTGCGGGAAACAGCAGTGAGCAAGTTTCACATGGATCCTGCCCTATTGAAACCTTTAAGGCCCATTGGGGGAAAACAGACATCAAACAAGTAACAATAAGTGGTTTGTGTGTTTCAAAAAACAGCAGAGAGGGTACTGCAGGAGCAAACAATTAGGCAACTCAGTCTATTTGGGGAATCAAAGAACAGCCCAGTAATGTCCACAGAATTTATTAGAGGGCTCTGAATGTGGGAAAGACTATTGCCTAAACAGTCCCTTCACAAAAGGGATCAAGGAGTCATGAAGCCACAGGAGGTAGGTAATATTAAATGATTAGGGACAGTTTTAAATAGAACTCCTGGAAGAAACGCAAGTTATCTTTCACTCCGTAGGCATTAAGCATGTGTTAGATGCCAGGAACTATGATGTATGTGTCTAACTTGCAGGAGTACATTGACTCACTTGTCATTCAGTCCACGAATATTTACTGGGCACTTACTATCCTCCAGAGACTGCTTTAGGCGCAGAGGACACAGCAGAGAACCCTACTCTTATGAACTTGAATTCTTGTGGGGTGACAAAATAACACAAAAGGAAAACATATATCAGATGAGATGTGCTATACAGAAAGATACAGCAGAAAAAGGAAGTTAGGGAGGTTGTTTGCTATTTTAAGTAGGGTGATCAGAGAAAGACTCATTAAAAGGTGATAGTTGAACAAAGATTTGAAGGAATCATGAGAGCAAGTTATACAGACATGTGAAGGAATGGCATTCTAGCAGAGACAACATCTGAGCAGATGTAAGGGCCCTGAGGCGGGACCATGCCTGGTGTGTTCAGAGGACAGCAAGGAGTTCAGAGTCTACCAGAAAAAAGCAAGCATACAACAAAAGAATTATTTTATTATTCAACTTGACAAGTGATAATGTAAGAATTTTTGCTAATTAATTAAGAGCAGCCATGGCAAAATTCTACTGTTGGACTACCAAGAGAATGTTTGATATTGCTGAAAACACCTTGGCAGCAAGACCAATGTGAAAGAGTCACTGTGCACATAACAAGTAAAAAAAGGTTTGTTTTGGTAGCATTGGGATGGGTGTGGACCAGATGAACCTGATCGGTTTCCTCACCTGAAACCCATCTCACCTTTCCCTGAAGAATCTCTTTCCCTCGTTCATTGTTCTCTCTGTGCTCAAGAGCTCTGCCCTTTCACTGATTATGTAGAAAAGGAGCACTGCATGGGCAATCAGCCCCTGGTTCTTCATTCCCACCCCCTGCCCCATTCGCCGACACCATCCTTGACTAGCTGTGTGGTCCCAGGTAAGTCTCTTATCACTCTGAGCTTCCAGATCATCTGTTTTTCTTCTCAACTCCTCAAAACAATATGAAATAATCATAATTTAGCCACCTAAAGACAGGAAGCTGGAAGGATTTAATTTTATCATTCTCTTCTCCTCCTCTTTCCCTTCCCGTAAATCCCTACATGCAAGTGGAGGCAAGAAGGGGGAATAGCCTCTGTCTGCGGGTTTTGGCTCCAGCATAAGACCTGACTAGTTTGTTCTACCCCAGCACTGTCACAGCCAGTCCATGGCCAGTTTATTGCTGATAGCGGGGTTATTTACATGCAAATAGCACCTTTCATATAGGAATAGAGAGGTTTCTCTTCCATCTCCATTTCTAAATGTCATACACCATTCTTGGGCCATCACTAAGTATGGTTAAGGGAGCCTGAATTCTACTTCTGGCTTGTCCCAAGAGGAATCATCTATCTTTCAAGGTCAGCTTCCTCTGTCAGAATAATGTCATGAATCACAGGCTTTGCCACCCTCACCAGTTGTGGTCTGGGAGAACAGGGCCTCCACAGATATTTACCTACAGATGGTAGAATGGAAACCTGTCCACCTAGGAAAAGGTAAGGCCTGTTGTAGCCTCTAGTTTGCCCTCCCTGGAGTCAGGCACTTGATCAAGTTTCTCCTTTAATCTTTAACACAAGAGAAACATTAGGGGAAAATAAATAGGACAAGCTCACTGCCCAGAAAAGCAACTGGCATAGCTAGCAAGTTGGCATGACCTTTACCAGCTCTCTGCAGCTGAGAAATTGTGGCAATTATTCTTAGCATCAGATGCACATGCATTTTTTATGAGTTTCAAAATGTCCAGACAAGAGAAAGGAAGGGAGCAAGGTCAGGAGGAAACCCCTTTGACAAAGGTGGGGCCAGAAAGGGGACAGGTGGGAGTCATCTGCACATTCAGTCATTTCTCATTTTTTATTGAGAAAGGTGCTCTAGAGACCATGGCTGAAATTTACACACACAGATACATACACATATTTTCTGCCTTCAAACATTTTATACTCTCCTGTTAGAGGTAAGGCATATATGTAATCAATCATTCCCACACCAGGATGAAATTCAGGGGAGATGATTTTCAAGGAAGTGGCATTTGAGCTGAACCTTAAAATTAAAATTTGATGCACATATATCAAACCATAGCAATTAGCATATCCACCACCTAAAACATTCACAGTTTTTTGTGGTCTGAACATTCAAAATTCTCTCTTCTAGCTCTTTGAAAATATACAATGATTTGTGGTTAGCCATATTTATCCTGCAATGCTATGGAACCCTAGGACTTATTCCTCCCAGCTAGATGTAATTATGTATCTGTTAACCAACTTCTCACTACTCGCCCCTCTTTTTTACCCTTCTGGACCAGGAAATTTTTATCCATGGTTGCAAATAGGTAAGTTTCTCTTATTCACTGCACAAGCTTCCAAATACTTTCTTGATGTCAGAGTTTAGGCTTTTGGAACTCATAATATGTACAATTACTGTATCAACTAAAAATATGAGGAAAATAAAATAAAAAAAATTTTTTTAATTAAAATTTGAGGCCGGGCATGGTGGCTCAAGCCTGTAATCCCAGCACTTTGGGAGGCTGAGTCGGGTGGATCATGAGGTCGAGAGATCGAGACCATCCTGGTCAACATGGTGAAACCCCGTCTCTACTAAAAATACAAAAAATTAGCTGGGCATGGTGGTGCGTGCCTGTAATCCCAGCTACTCAGGAGGCTGAGGCAGGAGAATTGCTTGAACCCAGGAGGCGGAGGTTGCGGTGAGCCGAGATCGTGCCATTGCACTCCAGCCTGGGTAACAAGAGTAAAACTCCTTCTCAAAAAAAAAAAAAAAAAAAAAAAAAATTTAAAAATTAAAATTTGAGCAAGACACTTAAAATTGCACATTCCCTATTCTCCTGACCCTGCCTTGGCTTTTCTCCATAGGAACTGTCACGTTCTAACATAGCATATAATGTACTTATTGTATTTACTGCCTATCTGCTTCACCCTCTATAAATTCCAACCAAAGCTTCTCCCTCACTTTCTTTCCACTCCATCTTTCTTACTAGAGAAAGAGGCAAAGAAAGAAAACTTGCTAAGCTCTTATATTTACAGAGTACCTTTGACCTTTCAGAACAATGTCCCTTCCGTTTTGCCCTCAGAAGAGCTCTGCACAGAGTGGCTCTCCTCATTCTGCTGAAGCAGTAACAAAGACATGGGGTAGGAGGGAGGAAGTTTACCCAAGGTCACTCACCTGACACCTGCCAACCTTACAGAGATGTCATTAGTCTCTCATCTGGCACATAGGAAGCACTCAAAATATATAAATCATTATTTCATTTTTCTTGTGTCAAATTTTTTCAGAAAGAAGGTATTAAATTGCCTTCTTAGTATTATCAGTTGGCGCTGTAGTGAACATTGTTCCCACTCCTTTGCCTTTCCTGTTCCTTACAGTGTCAGAAAATAAAATCCCCCTTCACTTAGTGCCCTACCTCTGACAAAGACCCAGGAAGGTTTTCTTCCAACTACTGTAGTGTGGCATAGACAGCTTCACTAATACAAGGCTCCCTCCTATTCCTCGCTCTGAAACCATTTTAATAACATATATTCATTAACCACAACTTTGCTGCTGTTGCAAGTTAGAGAGCCTGAGTTTTAACACCCTGAAAACCCATTATTGGAGCAAGTCTCCTTCCGTGTATCATTACATAAAGCACATTCAGACAAAACATAGCATTTCCAAAAGATGAAAGGTGATTTTCTCAGAGAAGTTAGGACATTTTTACTTGTTATGACTTCTTATTACTGGTAATGATGACAATAATGGTATGTTAGCATGTCACAGCACTACACAGAAGGTTAGTGCAACTGTTAGGAACCTTCTTCAAGAACCCCTTTTATTTTCTTGTTTCTCTAAAATATAAGTCAATATTTCCACATAGGAATGGCATGAGTAAACTATTTAGCCAGCTTAACCAAGTCAGTGTGATCAGCACCCAGTTGCTGATTAGCACCGTAATATGGAGATCTATACATGATTTAAGGAGGCGAGGAAAGTGCTGGGTGTTTAGAAAGCCCTCTCAGCAATGCTATTTCAAGGAGCCTTGAGCTTGGTGTTGCTTTCCAGAGAAAGAAGGAGGTTCTGATTAATTGTACATATCAATTTTGACTCTCTAGGTTCAAGTAACAAAAACCAACCAGAGAGCTGGACGCGGTGTCTCACGCCTGTAATCCCAACACTTTGGGAGACCAAGGAGGGAGGATTGCCTGAGGTGAGAAGTTCGAGACCAGCCTGGCTAACATAGTGAAACCCTGTTTCTACTAAAAATACAAAAGTTACCCAGGCACCTGTAATCCCAGCTACTTGGGAGGCTGAGGCAGGAGAATCACTTAAGCCCAGGAGGAGGAGGCTACAGTGAGCCAAGATAGCACCATTGCACTCTAGCCTGAGCAACAGAGCAAGGTTCTGTTTCAAAAACAAACAAACAAAAACACACACACACACACAAACACACACAAAAAAAAAAAAGAAAAAAAAAAAAAAAGAACAAGCCTGAGCAAAACAGAAGGAAATTTATTATAAGGATATGTGTATCCACAAACCAAGACACAATTACAGCTGGGCTGAAAATTTCCAACTAGAAATCCTGTGAGAATTCAGATAGTATTTTCTGTTCATCTATTATGCAATTGCCTCATATTCTTTCTCTCTCTCTCTCTCTCTCTCTCTCTCTCTCTCTCTCTCTCTCTAAGTCAGAGCCTTCTATCCCCTCTGCCTTGCAGAACATTTAAGCCCACATCTCCCAAGTTTAAATGTTTTTGGTTCAGTCACATGTAGAACTCTTTACTCTCTCCATTCACTTCCAAATTCCTAGGAAATCACTCTAGTTGGCTTGATAAAGTTAAGTGAAATCTCTTTTTCAGTCCACTTGTGACCATGGAGTCACTGTCACATATTACAAAATGGTTGTTGAGAATATCATTACTGTAGACTAGGGAGGGCACGAACTTGCTGCATTTGAGAGACAGCAAGAAGGCCAGTGTGGATAAAGCAGAGAGTGCTAGGGGAAGCTATCTCAAACTTGTCAGATTCAAAGGAGAACTCATGCTTTCACTTCAAAAAAAAAAAAAAAATGCCAGCCTGGACAACATGGCAAGACCCCCTTCTCCAAAAAAAAAAAAAAGGAAAAAAGTCTTTTTTAAAAATTAGCAGGCATGGTGGCATGTGCCTATGGTCCTAGCAATTTGGGAGGCTGAGATGAGAGAATGCCTTGAGCCCAAGAGTTTGAGTTTGAGCTATGATCATGCCACTGCACTCCAGCCCGGGTGACATGGCAAGACTCTACCTCTAATAACAACAACAACAACAACAACAACAACAACAAAATATTGTGCTCATTCAGATCAAAATTCTTAGAATCATCTTAGATTTACCTTTTTCCTCCTATAGCCCACATTCGATCTCTGGTTATCTATCACTACATAATAAATTATCTCAAATCTTAGTGGCTTAAAACTGCAATAATCATTTATTATCACTCATGGATTTTCTGATCCAGGATTTCAGTTATGACATGTCAAGGCCTCAAGTGGAATACCCAAGGACTGGGAGTTAAATTAACTGAAGGCTTATTTAATCAAATGTCTAAAAGTTGGTGCTGGCTGTGGCTGAGGGGCTAGCAGAGCTGTCGACCATAACACTCCACACATGGCCTCTTCATGTAGTCTGGGCTTCCTCACAAAATGGTGGCTGAGTTCTACAGGAAAACATGCCAAGTGAAAGTGAGAGCCAGGCAGAAGCCATATTGCCCCTCATGGCCCAGCCTCAGCAGTCACAGAGCATCACTTCTGCAACATTTTACTGGTTGAACTCGTTATTAAGATTTGCTCAGTTTCAAGAGAAAGGACCATAGACCCCACCTCTTGATGGAGGCATGTATCAACATC